ACTTTCCTTTTTCAAACAATATATTTTACATCTTTCCATATATGTCCTTGGAGTTTAAAATTTCAAACTTGAATATTCAAAACTTAAAGGGCAAGTTAGTAACTTTCTAGGGAGACAATACATGGCCCACATGTCCCCTTAAAAATTTCTACTCCCCAAAACGGACATTCTTTTTGGGACAGAGGAAGTAAATGATTTGAATAAATGATTAAAAATACAAGGCGCGCCTTTTATTGAACTTGGAGCCTATTGAAAACTGTGAGCTTGAGGGTTCTACGTGATCCTAGCACCATGTAGTGTGGTTCAATCCTTGGTGTTGTCTAGAATGTTTAATCCTCGTATTCTTAAGCATAATTTTATTTTGTGGATTGCAGTTCAAGAAAAGCTAGCCACTCTGGATAGCCCTTCCATCTCTTCACTTAGCATCCCCAATGCTAGCCCCCTATGCCTCTCTGCTTTGGAAAGTCACTCTCATCTTTTCTTTCTTTGCTAATTTTGAAGCCCAATTTGGAACCATTTTCAGCTCCTTTGTGATTTCTAGACCCCTTTCTCAAACTAGAAGACCCTCATTCAATGGACCTCTTCCAATTGCCACAACTCTTCTAGCTTTCTCTCTCAGAAACTAGTTCTTGCTGCCTCAGTTATGCAATCTGGGGTGAGAGAATCAGCAGAATCTTCAGGAATACATCAAAATGCCCCCAAGCCTTGATTTAATCCATCACTGACTTCATTAGCTCAGACTCAGCTCCTCTGCTCTAGGAGAAAGCAAAGCTTCCTGAGCCCTATGTTACATGGACTCTTCAAAAGTAATTAAAGTACCCATATCCAACACACATTGCTCGGACATGGGCATGGGATATGTGTGACACTTTAGGTTGGACATGCACCTAATAATATGTCCAATAATTCAATATTATTATTTTATTGCTTTCAAAATGAGTGAATTGCCTATATTGAACATTGCATTACATAAAAGACATTATTTTACTTTAAAACATAAAATAAAAATATTAAACAATAAAAATATTTAGCATTATCTATGTGTCTTTTCATTAAGAGATTTGACACGTCCGATGCATGGGTACATACCCAAGTCCATGTAACATAGTCTGAGCCACAGCTGCTAGGTGGAGCCTAGTGCCTACCTAGCTCAGTTATCAGACCTCCAAGGAAGCCTCCCGACTAATCTTGCATTCTTTGTTGCAGAATCTGCTGCTTTGTATCAAATGATTTCATGTTGGTTGCTATATAGGTAGTCCTAGTTTGCAATCTGTTTTCTTGTTTTCAGCAGCTCTAGCTGCTTGTTTTTGCCTTTTGTAGGCCAGATTGTACAGTTTCCTTTTTCTTTTCTTTTCTTTTTTTTTTTTTTTTTTTTTTTTTTTTTTTTTTTTTTAAATTTTAAATATTACCTTCAAAATGTATTTGACACAACTCAAATACATCTATCTTTATCTGCATGGTGGCCCTTGTTAGTGGCCTAACGAAATGGCCCATTGATTTGGTCCAGACTGAAGCTCCCATGAAAATATATCAATGTCTCACGTTACTCACAAATATGTATCTTATATGATATTCTTTGTTCCGTATGCTGGAAATTGGAATTATCTGAGTACCATGTTCTAAACATCTTCTTCTTTTGAAAATTGAAACTACTTATCTGAGCATTGCTTGTTTGAGGAAAGTCAAGTCAAGTGTGATATATATATATATATATATATTTTTTTTTTTTTTCTCTCTTTCTTGTCTTTCTTTTTTCATTCCTTTTTTCTTTTTCTTGTCTATAGGTAAGCTTGTAAGGGTGAAGTATTTCACGGTAGTTTTTTTAACTTTTTGCAAGAAAATTGACATATTCACATCTAAGTTGACATGTCAAAGTGGTTTTAAAAAATGTTGAGGCATTCTCAGCAGCAATCCCTGCTCCAATAACCATAATAATAATTATTTAGTCAATGCTAACTCAAGTTTCATTTTTGACTAAAAAGGCTACTTTTCGTGTATTCATTGTTTGTGATATTGTGTAGTTGATTCTTCAAGAAAATCCGAGGGTCAAGCATTTTGGTATTCAGAGGAAACCATTACCTCTAGAACCATCTGTACTTTTGCGTGAGGCTAACCGCCGAAGGGCTTCTCTCTCTGCTGGGAATTTGTTTGAAATGTTTGATGGTCGCTCAGTTGTTATTGATGGGTAATGTTAATTTAAGAATTAAATTAAATGTAGCGCTATATGTTCTTCGAATAAATTCATAGGGAGAGTGCTATTGCCCAAGCTAGTTGGTTGCTTCCAGTGATTTAACTTTGAATATCCAATGAGCTGTTTCCAATTGCCATGGGAGCAACCAAAACAGCTGGCTTATAGCTATTTCTCTCTTTTAATTGCTCAACAAGTGTTCTATGAAAGTATTTTTGAAAAACGTGGTTTCTACTTTTCTTTCCTTTTTGTGTTTTCCAATTATAATTGTCTTCTTTTGTTGTTGGATTCTGTGAATTCTTTTGAGCTCTTATACAGTTGTTACATACTGACAGCTCAGGTCCAGATGGATCCTTAAAGATGTCCCCATCACCTAAAATAAATACGATTTCCATGTCAAGGACTAATTCTTCACCAGGAAACTTTGAGAGCTCAATAGATCGACCAATGAGACTTTCAGAGATCTACGTTGCTGCTGAACATGCTCTGCGGAACACAATTTCTAATCCTGATTTATGGAAATCATTGTCTTCTGTAAAGGAGTTTGAGGTATTTAAAATAGCGGACTCTAATATATTAAGTTTCTTCTTAGAAAATGCTTAAGATACAATACTATTAACATTTGACACATACTTCTGTATTCCAATCTCAGTTGTTTAAGATTAGATTTAGTTTCTCTTGGAAGTGAAATTGTTTCAAAAGTGCTGGATTAATTTCTATCACTACCTCTTATTGAAGATCCTGCATCATTTTATTTTCCCAAAAAATTTGGGAGTTTCCGTTCTTTACATACTCTTTAACTGAGGGTTACAACTAAAATTCATTGTTAACCCCAAGGGTAAGAACTTGGCCCTGGTTCCTCAGGAAGCATCAGGTCTAAGGTTCGAATCCTCTTGGGTTTTTGGGTATTGTGTTAATTTTAAATACATTGATTGTTGAATGTTTCTCTCTCTTTTTCTCATTTTTATGCAATCCTGGATTTTTTCTTGTCAGGAAAAATATTTGGATCTATCAAAGGGCGCTGCTGACAATTTTTATCGTTCATGGTGGAAAAGACATGGTGTTGTCCTTGATGGTGAAATTGCAGCTGTCTGCTATAAGCATGGGAATTATGATCTTGCTGCAAAATCCTATGAGAAGGTATGCGCTCTTTATGCTGGTGAAGGATGGCAGGATTTGTTGGCAGAAGTTCTTCCCAATTTAGCAGAGTGTCAGAAGATGCTTAATGATCAAGCTGGCTACCTGTCATCTTGTGTGAGGTTGCTCTCCCTAGATAAAGGCTTGTTCTTGACCAAGGAACGGCAAGCTTTTCAGTCAGAAGTTGTTCAACTTGCACATAGTGAAATGAAACACCCTGTGCCCCTAGATGTGTCCTCATTGATCACATTTTCTGGCAATCCTGGGCCACCTTTGGAGCTATGTGATGGGGATCCTGGTACCCTATCTGTAACTGTGTGGAGTGGCTTTCCTGATGATATAACTCTTGAATCGCTTAGTCTCACTCTGAATGCTACTTATAATGCCGATGAAGGTGTTAAGGTATTCTTCTTAGTTACAAGTTGTTACCGATATATTTAGCACTCAGCAATTTATGTGATGTGTCTTTAGCATTCCTAATGGCTTGATATTATATCTTATTTTCAGACAATAAGGAGCTCTGAAGCTACTATACTAAAGCCTGGCAGGAACACAATCACCCTTTCCCTACCCCCACAGAAACCGGGTTCCTATGTCTTGGGGGTTCTTACTGGGCAGATTGGTCACTTGAGATTTAGGTCTCATAGTTTTTCCAAAGGGGGACCTGCAGATAGTGATGATTTTATGAGTTATGAGAAGCCAACTAGACCCATCTTAAAGGTATTGTTTCTTTTGTTTAATAGATGAAATGGAATGTTAAGACAATAACAACAGTTGGCATCCTTAGCATACTTTCAGATTGCTATTTTTTCTTGCAGCCTGCATTTTGACTTATGAAGTAGTTTTGTTTCTGAGGAACCAAGTTACATATTCATTGTACCATCTAATAAGGTATTTCCATATTCAGGTGTTCAAACCAAGGTCACTGGTTGATCTTGCTGCAGCTGTTTCATCTGCTTTACTAATGAATGAACCTCAGTGGGTTGGAATAATTATAAAGCCAATTAACTACTCCCTTAGGGATGCTGTCTTGCATATTGACACTGGTCCAGGTTTGAGGATCGAGGAGTCATATATCATTGAAATGGAGAGGTATGCCAAGGAATCACATATTTCAGGTGACTTGGGTTACTCAGATGATGCTAAAAATGATGGCTCTTCTACTGTTACTGAAGAATTACAGCAGCTAACTCTTCAGGATGGTAGAATAGAATTGCCATACTGGGCTAGCAATATAACTTCTGTTTTGTGGATTCCAGTGCGTGCTATTAGTGACAAGTTAGCTAGAGGAACATCCACAGGTTAATAATGATATAAATTTTTGGTGGTTTCTATGTATACATGCATGTGATGTGTAAATTTTTTGTTGCGTTCAACTGCTTAATTGTATGTGACTATGTTTTAGGAGCAGTGTTTCCCCAAAGACAGAGTGTTGTAGATGGATTGAGAACAATAGCTCTGAAACTTGAATTTGGAGTATCACACAACCAGACATTTGAAAGGCAGGATTTTTTTCTTTCATTTTTTCTTTTAGATTCCAATGCAGCTTGATTAATTTTATTTTTGTCCAAACTTATGTGACACATTTGATATTGATTTACAGGACCATAGCTGTGCATTTCACTGATCCTTTCCATGTGAGCACACGTGTTGCAGACAAATGCAATGATGGTACTTTGCTTTTGCAGGTATTCTTTTCAGTAGTGTTTTGCATTTCATCTGCACGCTAATATAATCTCGACTGCATCGTGCAATCGTGTACTGTTGGAGCCAGCTTATTATATTACTTTGGCACAGGCTAGCCCAATGATGTCTAGGTAACTTTAATCGGTCTTTGTGAACTATTGTGTTGAGCATAAATCTCTTAGGCTACACTATGAACTATTGTGTTGAGCATAAATCTCTTAGGCTACACTATGTAATATGAACTGGGTCACTTATGAACTAGCTATCTAGGTTTAGCTGACGCTTACCTCTTGAGCCATGCATAGTTTGAGGTTAAATTGCCAAAATTTTGAATCTAATTTTATAATTTTTTCCTTTGAGACACATTGTTAGAAGAGGAAGCCCTAATTTACTGTGGCAATTTATGGTCCTGTGGAGTTTAACAGTTCAGAGCTTTGCATTCACAATTTTTTTTTTTGTTTTTTTGTGCCTCATGATTTGGGTCATCTTACATCCGAAGTCTTGGATTGGTCCATGCCTCTTTCAGGTGATACTACACTCACAAGTGAAGGCTTCATTGACCATATATGATGCTTGGCTGGATCTTCAAGATGGATTTTCTCACACTAAACATGGTGATGGGAGACCAACATCCGCCTACTTTCCGCTTCTTGTTTCCCCAACATCGAAAACTGGAATTCTGTTCAGTTTATGCTTGGGGACTACAATCGCTGAAGGTATATCTAATTGGTTTTGTTGTTTTACAGTGATTATCACGTAGTTATATAAGTACATGGAAAGTGTTCTAATTTTATATGGACGTGCAGCTTTGGTCAAAATTTTCCTAACTTCGAGATGTGGACACAAACCTCTATATGTGTGCATGTGTGTATAACCTTAATTACTGGAGAAAGCATCAATTTTAATAAACGTCTTGCAAAGGATTGCATAACACATACAATTCTCTGCACCTTATACTAAATATATAAAGGTGGATGCAATTTTAGGTGTCCAATCTGGGCTTAATTATTGAAAAACATGTTAACTATGGTTAAGAAGAAGTGCCCTTTGTACCATAGGTATTAAGAAATCCTTTAAGAGTTGAACAATTAACTTAATAATAGTATTTTGAGGTGTATCAGAAACACAGCATTTGGATGGCTTGATGCAAAGAATTTGATGAATCCATTTTTTTATGTCACTAGAATGGCATTTTTGTTTCTATCTAATCCAATTAATAGATTTGCTGTCAATTGATTTCAGAATTGATTAGAAATGAAATAACTTATTTATAAATAATTGACAAGGAGAATGGAACTTATGAGAAACTATACTAGAACAAAATGCCCGTCAATTGTTCTATGATTTATTCATAGAAAATTTTGATATAAGTCAAAGCCCAGTTTTAACAACAGCGGATGCAGCTAAAATGAACACAATTGTTTCATTATAGAAACATTTTAAAGTGTGATGGCAAATATAATAATAAAAATAATCTATAACCCCCAAAAGTTCCATTACATGAAGTTTGAAACTTTGATGCAATTTACACCTGCATAAACTGAATACGAGTATAACGTAATAGGTAGTAAAGACTATAGAAAATCATTGAGAACTTTACTTCGCAACAATAGCAGCAACATCAACAGTAGTATGGACATTAAGTTCCTTCCCTCCAGGTCAAACTTCTTTTTTATGTTCATACTTGATATGTCAAAGTTTGATGTACTTTCTTTTTGGTGGGTAAGACAGATGTATGCATAACTTCTTGGCAATACTATTGTATGTTAAGTTAGTTATAAAATATATATATATATATTGCATGTTAAACAGTTGTTGGACATTTGATTTAAGGCCAACTGCAATCAATTGAGTAACTAAAAACCCTCTAAGTTGGGACAACTGCAAGCATTTGAATCCTAGAAATAGCACCCTTCTTTTGTCTAATCTGGTTTCTAGTTGTCAGTTGTATAATTTTGGGGTGCAGGGAAGTAAAACTTAGCAGAATTGATAGCTGTAAAATGAAGAGAATGAAAACGCAAAAAAAGGAAAATTAAAAAGAAAAAATAATGGATATTCACAGCAGAAAAATTGGACTTATCGTAACTAAAAAATTGAAATGTAGAAGGTCGAGACATGGATTTTAAAGTTTGTGTTAATATATCTTCTACCAATACTTGAAGAAGAGCCTGATCTCGTTGCTTGGAATGAGTAGAAATAGTTGGGGAAAAAAAAAAATCTGATAATGTTATGCATTAATCGCAATAACTAACTCAACTCAACAAAACTTTTTGCCAATTATTTGGGTCAGCTACATGAATCCTAATCTGTCATTCTGCTCTAAGGCCATTGCTAAATTACTTCATCAATTGTCTTGTTGCAACAAGTCTTAAATGCTCTGTTACATTTTAAGCAAGCAAAATACTGCACTTGGTTTTACAGATGAAGCAAAGGAGTTGCATCCAGATAGTATATTAAACATCAGATATGGAATTGCTGGTGATAGAAACCTAGGAGCCCATACCCCGGTTGCTGTGGATCCCATCAGACCCGAGGAAGTTACAAATTCTTTGATCTTTAGGAGTGCTCTTGTTTTGCAGCGGCCTGTGCTGGACCCTTGCATGGCGGTTGGTTTTCTTCCTCTTCCCTCAAGTGGTCTCAGAGTTGGCCAGCTTGTTACCATGAAGTGGAGAGTTGAAAGGTTAAAGGATTTTCAGGAAAATGAAGTTCCTGAAAACAATGTAAGTGATGATAACCTTTTACCTTCTTTTTAAATGCTCCAACTAAAATGTCAGACTTTGGATTGTGGAATTCTTTTTTCAATCTTGATTAACAAGAGTATTATCCTGTCAAATTGAGACTGTATATTTACCATGAAAGAGTCCATTCACCCCAATCCAAGTTGGTGTCGTATTATGGAAAGGAAGTTTCCCTAGATGATGTTTGATGAAATTGAAAATTTTAAGAGCTAAATTTTAAGGGCTTACATTTTAAGTGCCTCTTAACCTATTATTATAAGTGGTATCTAGATCACATTATCAAAGGTATCAAGTCGAATAAGCACTTAAATATGGTAAATTAAGTTATCAAAACAACACCTTAGTCGTCTAAATGAAAATACACGGTTGATGAAATAATATACACTTAACCTTTTCCCGGGGAAATGGCTGAAGTATTCTTAAGTTGATGTCATCTCTTTGCAATAAAGTACTTTTATTCTCATGCTTGGCAACTGATCTTTTACCATTGTATCGAGCAATAGACCTTTTGTTCAAATAAGGCTAAAAGTTAGGCTTTTTAGCCAGTCTGCCTCTTCCACCTTCTTCAATTATTGGGAACCACACTACGTAATGCCAATCAAAATAATTATATTTATTTGGCATAGTCTCTAGATGCTGGGAGAAAAAAATAACAAATTGAACCTCTGTCGAGAATATGCAAAGTTTTATCAGGTATAAATCTTAAGAAATGTCTGAGATCCTACTTCTTGTGTAAAGTAAGCTTTGTGGTGCCTCTTTAAGGCAAATTGCAGCTTCAAGGAATTCCTGTGTACATCTTTTCAATCCTGCGTATTGTTTTCTATTCCTCGTGCAACAGGATGAGGTGTTATATGAAGTCAATGCAAACTCTGAGAATTGGATGATTGCTGGAAGGAAAAGAGGTCATGCTTCAATTTCCACAAAGCAAGGTATCTCAATTTTTTTTAAAAATTTAATTTATCTATTTTTGGGTCTTTGTTCAAGAAATTAAGTTGACATCTTTTTTCGAACCAACCATAGTATGATATATTTTCTTCTACATCATCCTGAAAATCTCTCATAATATGACAGGTTCAAGGATAGTCATTTCAATATTATGTGTGCCGCTGGTGGCGGGATATGTTCGTCCTCCTCAACTGGGCCTGGCCAATGTGGATGATGCAAATATAAGTTGCAACCCTCCCGGACCTCATTTGGTCTGTGTCATGCCTCCAGCTCTCAGCTCCTCTTTCTGCATACCAGCGTGATATACTTGAGGCCATCTTTGATTTAACACACTTTACAGGTGGACTTGGTTTCCCATTCCATAAGAAGTTATAGGTATAGAGGTATATTTCAGGTAGCCAATTTTGATCATCTAAGAAATTTGTAAATCTGTATTTTTTCCATAATTGAAAATTAAGAAACTGGGTTTTGAATTTAATTCGGGTTGGTGGTTCTTAGAGTGCTAAACTATGCGGCTGTTGTGTAGTCTCTTGGCTCTTGCAGAATGGACTTCTGGACTAGTACAATAGTGTAGACTGAAAAAATACAAACAGTTTTCTTTCAAAAAAATTTATTTGTAAATGCTGCTGAAGTGCTACGTTGTTGTTCCTTGTAATATTGTGATGTTAGACAAAGGCATCCTTGTCCTTGTAAATTTTGTGGCTTGAATTCTCCTTTATTCAATGATTTCTATGTTTTCTTCGTTTTGTTTTACTTGTATTAACACATTATGCTTACAATTACATTGCCCCTGGAGTGTTTTTTTTTTTTTTTTCGAAAGTTAAATTGCCCCAAGAGTTTGTGATTCTTTCTATAGCTCTTGGAATTTTGATCGACTCTTATTATTATAATAATAACAATATTATTATTTTCCTTTCTTGGGTTGCTCTCGCTTACCGAGCAGAATATATTTCATAAACTGCCTGATGTTCTGGCTGGGGCTCGACCAGTTTTTCAGATTGGGAAACGAGAAAGGCAAGCCAATTTGAGCTCACGCATAAGAAATTTTTACATAATCCTAGTCAATCTGGAGATTCAAGCAAATGTGTTACATTTATTTTATTTTTTGCTTACACATCGAGTTGTGATTGACTGGTACTAAATAGTCTTGAATCATGTAATAATTTTTTCGATATTTTTTCTTCTATGTAATATATATAAATATATAATTTGTAGGTGTACCAACAATCCGAGAGTGGTTAGGTTGGCCGTGGCCGCGAGAGTTGAAAATCTTAGTGCTCATCTTCCGTACATAATACATATGCCCTCAAGATAAAAATATAATGTCGAAGAAGTTTCCTTCCGTAGTCTCTTGTTGACATATGAGGTATTTGAGTGAAGTTTGGTTTGAATGATTAGAATTGTGATTTGTTGACTTTGACGTCAATAGAGAAAAAGGGAGCCATGTCCGACAGAAGTCAACAGTGGAAATAAACATAAAAAAAAGGTCCCACCGAGATTTGAACTCGGGTTACTGGATTCAGAGTCCAATGTCCTAACCACTAGACCATGGGACCTTGATGTAACAAATGCGAAATTTTTGGTATATAATCAAACATTTTATAGTGATAAAGACACTGTTTGGAGACTCGCCGTCAATATGGATTTTAAAGTACACCTTTGCCAAATCTTCAGCGCTCATAGTTACTAAAAGTTGACAATTCTCACAATGTGAAGGTTTTTAATTGCATATTTACAAGTCCAATCCGCTCAAGTAGCACTAGTTTTTTCAGATTTCTTAGTCCAAGACCATTTGCTTACAAACCACTTTGCAGACTCACTATATTTCGAGTTCATCCAGTCAATAAACCAAATACCCACCCACCCAAAATTACACACACTCGAAAGTGATGGTGTCTTCACCATCTCTTTGAAGGTAGCACTAATTCTCATTCACACACCGGATGAAATGCCAAGATATAAATAAGTTAGAAACTAAATCCACCCTTAAATGACTAGTAATTTCTTGAAATTCATGTTTTCACTTTCGATAATAAACCAGTAAGACCATTACTTAGCCTAATAGCGTGTCAGGAGGATCTAAATACTGTCCTGCATATATATATATTGTAATGCATGGTGACTTATTCCCCAACATGCTCATTCATTCTCCCAACCGTGTCTCTTTCAAGATTTGTGGGATGCCAACCCCTCAACAACCAAACCCTATAATTTATTCAACTGATTGATACTCATAAAACCTAATTTTCCTCCATGGTCACAATTCAAATCATTGTCAACTCCTAATTAAAATGGGAGAAATTTTTGTGTAACGCATGGTACCAAATTATATAGTAAACACTAGCTAAAAAACATGTCATATTTTGTTTAATAATAGAAAATAATTATTCAATGTGGATACTATAGTGTTGGTTATTTAAGCCTACTAACAGAATTAGTAGTACTGTTTTACCAATCAAATCCCTCATGTAGGTTTTTATTTTATTTTTATTTTTATTTTTTTTATCAAGAGCTCATTCAGCCAATTCCGGGACATTTTACACACTTTAAATGGATTTCAAAAGGATTAATGTTACAAAGAATCACTCATGAGTGTTCATCACAAGGATCCACTTGTAACGTTTTTCATATATATATTCTAAATTCAAAATAATAAAAATCTGATCCATTTTTGTTCGCACCAAAAAAAAAAAAAAAAGTGATTTGTTGCATTACTATATATATAAATATAAAGTATGATTTCTCTCTCATTGCTTCTTCCATTGTTTGGGCTTTTTTTTGCAATTGTTTGGGCTTCTTTTTGCTTTCTCTTGAAGATGGTGGGTGATGTCAATTAAAATCCAATCCTATATTCTACAATTTGAAAAGCCACATAACGAAGAGATGATCTAATAAATCTTTGTTGGAAAAAAAAAAAAAAAAAAAAAAAATTTTAAAAAAAAACATAAATAAATCTCTGGCTCAGAATTTAATTCCCAAAGCTAACATTTTCCCCACTTCACTGTGGTTGCTTCCGTCAAAGATGTATTAGGATTGCGACTTCTCAACAACCAAACTGTACCTTTGAGGTCCATGATTTAAACCCCTCACTTGTTAATTCCATAATTTCATACATCCTAAATAATAATAATAATAATAATAATAATCACTACTTCTCCTAATAAATACAATTTTCATATCATCATATTATTATTAATCCATTACTGCTACTTCAAAGCTTTTTATTAACAGCATCAGTATATATATATATATATATTAATATATAATATATATTGTGATCTTAATCTATCAAACAAAGCATCTGGTTCGGCTTCGTCTCCCCAGATTTCAACATTTCAGATTTTAAAAAAAAAAAAAAAATAGTATAATCACTATATTATCCCCATATTGAGTTAAATATGAGTCTTTTTCACTCTCCACAGATGTTGTGGCATCTCCAGTCCAATCTGACTTCCCATGGGCCCACCATGTGCTGACTGGGCTTCCGGAATGATACTATGTGACTGCTCACCATGAACGCCGTTACACGCTCCGACACTCTCACATCCTCCATCCTCAATTCTTGCAACCTCTTCACGTATTCCGGCACGTGCACTAGGTCCCACACCACCCCGACCCCGCCGGGCTTCAACACCCTCGCCATCTCACCCAACACCCTCATCCTCTCCGCCGCCGCCTCCACCGTCCGATGACCGAACTCCTTCCCCACCGTGTGGAGGAACATCGACGACACCACCACGTCGAAGTAGTTGTCCGAGAACGGGAGCCTACGCGCGTCACCCTCCCGGCACGTGACGTACTCCTGTACTCCTTCAATCCCGGCCGTCCGTAGTGTTGAGACCGTGGTTTTCCTGCGGTCGAGCCCGACGACCCGACCCGAACTGCCTTCCTTCTTCAGCTGCATCGCCACCGCATTGAGGAGGATGCCGCGGCCGCAGCCCACGTCCAGGGCGTGCTTGACCGTGGACCAGTCGTTGACCACGCCGACCATGCGCTGCGCCATTTCCCACTGGAGGGAGACGGAGGAGTAGAAGATGTTGCCGGCTGCGAAGAAGAGGCAGACGGCGGAGAGCGCGGTGACGGAGCCGGTGAATCCGGCGGCGAAGCGGGAGGCTCCGCCGGGGAGGGAGGGGAAGAAAGACTCGACGAAGGCGCAGATTGGGCCGAAGTACAGGAGGAAGAGTACGGAGAGAGAGGAGAAGGTGATCGCGTACATTAGGAGGAAGATTGGAGTGTGCCAATCATCCATTCCGTAGATTGCGTAGATCTGTGTCCAATCTCTCCCTGTTTTCCCCATTTTTTTCGACTGAAAATATCTGATCTGAGAACAGAGTTCAAGCTCGGAAGTGCCGGAGTTCGACTTTTGCTTCTGATCGACTCCAAATCCTGCATTCAAAATACATAAACCAATAAGAACACACTAAGATCTAGTACAAGTTTAAATTTAGAAGAAATTGAAGTTGATATTGAGAAATTTAAGTAACAAATCTAAGATTTGAGAGAGAGAGAGTGATTGTAACACACTTGCACTTAAAACGTTCACGTAGCAAAAAAAAATCTTCACACAATCTTTGAGTTACTGAAAACTTGAAGATTTTGAAGAATGATCCGCTTTTTGATGAAACAAAAATCTGCAATTTCAAAAAACTTAGCCGTCAGTAAACAGTTCTCTCTGCGCAGAAACAGAGCCAAGTACTAACTTTCCCCTGAATATACTGAAGAAAAAACAGTACTAATTTTGGTTTCAGTTTCTCAGCAACCAAATAGAGCACGGTATGAGATCTAATTGGAAAGTTGGGAAAAAAGAAAATTTTGATTCTGAAATTTGCCAGTAAGTGAAAGTACAAAAGAATACTGATAAAATAGAAAACATAAACATACCAGTGACGACGAGTGTGGAGTGCTATGAGTTACGATACATCAGATCCGTGAATGCAGAGAATACATCGGAAATCATAGAGAGACAAGATGATGGAAAGTGGAGCAGATTGATAGAAAAAAGTAGCATCCAAATCACGCTACAATAAGAACACCGCCGAGGTGAGAACGGAAGACCATATGGCTCATAACATGCCAGTTTTCTCGAAAATCAACAGTTGTTCAGAAGAAGTAACGGAAAGAGAGAGAGAGAGAGACGACGACGATGATGATCTCATTCATTATTTGGTACGTTCACGCGGTTTTGATATGATTCTTGGAGAGAGAAAACCAAGTGGTGGTGTGGTGTTTTATGGTAGATAAAGCGCATTAAAGTTCTCCATATTATGTGTAGAATCTCCGGCGAGAAAAGCTCCAAACTGGATTCCCAGCAAAACAATACTTTTTCGGAGTTTTCTCTATCCACCGGTGGAGAGTGGCCGAGTGTGAGAGAATTATTGAAAGATGTATATATATATATATATATATATATATATATATATATATGTAGAGAGAGAGAATGTAAGAGAATGTGGAGAGAGAGAGAGAGAGAGAGAGAGAGAGAGTGTTTGGCAGTTCTGCTATGGTATACGGAGTATATGGTAGAAGAAAAAATTTAAAGTTCGGTGAATTTGGTAAGCTTTCTTTAATTAGATTAAATTGGGTCTTAAGTGGAATTTAAACTACCTAAATAAAAAAGTATCAAAAAAACCAATGGCTTGGCGAATAAGTGGGCTTTGAGCTTTGAAGTTTCCATTTATTCCTTGTGGGTTATTGATGAGTGATGACATTAGAAAACCAATGGTTAGATCTGTCTGGTGGAGATATAGAATTTTTCACTAAAGTTCCTTAAAACCATTCTGAAAATACAACAATTACTTGCAATTTCAACCCTAATTATTATTATAATAATTATTAAAAATAAAAATAATAAAATAAAATAAAATTTACTTCCAATTCCTACTTTTTACATTGAAAGACAAATTAATTCTAAATTTTTTCTTTAAAACTAAAGAAGTCCTACTTTTAAATTTAAATTTTATTTTATTTTTTTTCATTTTAATACTACTAAATCTTTCATTTATACCTATAAATCCTATATTGTTATGTTCTAAAAGTATCTTAAACATGTCTGTTCATGTCCAAGCCATGTCTAATGAGACTAATTAAGGAAAATATTTCAAATTCCAATATACTCTTAACTGTTGTCAAATGTGTCTCTTGGTAGATCACTTAAATCCAAATTTTTTGATTGAAAAAATAATTCTACAAGAGTGTACAGTGGATTAGTCTACTAAGTATCAAATAGACTAAAACTATCTAATAATTTTTCGAAGAACGCAATCCTAAAAAAATGTGTACTTTCTAGTATATTTTTGTTTGTCAATATTTATATTCGACAAACACATATAGTCACGGATGGATCTACCCCCTCCCCCATTCCTAAATAGCAACAAATAGGCTTTTAGGCTTTTAATATCACAATAACAGATAGTGTGTGTAATTTTCTCTCCAAGTATCTATGAGGCGCATGTCCAACCATTAAAAGAACACCATTTCATTATTTTTGTTGGGATAAATGAAAAATCAATTTTTCCAAGAACATGGTTGGAGTTTGCAATTCTAAGCATTTGTGAAATTGTGACAAGTCCTTAATGGGCTCACATGACATTTCACTTTCAAAATATAATTCAAAAACCAAACACAATAATAAAAACATAAAAACTTTTTTGAAACCAAGAAAGATGGTCCTTTGATTTTGAAAGTTACCAAAGTGTGATGGACAATCTCCGCAAATCAAGGGATTGTCTATTAATTGTAATATATATTAAACCCGACCGGTGTTTGAACAAACCATCTCTCTTTTCTTTTCTTTTTTCTTATATATATATATATTTTTTTTCTTTTCTTAACACTGCACTGAATTGGTCGTTTTCATCATTTAAATCACTTTTGAAATTTTCCACTGCATGGATGGACCTCCTCTCCTCCGTCCAGTTACATAACTAGCCTTGACTTTGATTAAATTAAAGCATTAATAATCTTCACAGACGGTCACTTTTGTCAACACGCTTGTGTTCTAATGACGAATCTACCCCCTCCTCTTTTGAATTGGGGCTTCCTATTAGAAGGGTGTTTTGGTCATATAAGCAAAGGGCACTTTTGTGAAATGGTGCTAATGGAATTGTTAATTAGAAACTAATGAAAGAATATGCTTGATTTTCAAATGAAAGTAAGTTGGTGCCTGCCAGAGGAGGAAGACGCGGTAAAGGATGAATGGGTCCGCCGGGTGATGCAGGCACGACTTTGGCCGCTTTGACGGTGCGCACAAATCGCATAGGTAGCATCAAATTGAAGACGACTAGGTCTACTCTAATTTAAAGAAAATTAATGGGGTTTGTGGACTTTTACTTCTAATGACATAGAATTGCTTCAAAATGTTTTGATTCTGTACTTGTTTCCAACTTGACATCAATCTTTCTCACCATCCAATCACATTTGCCATTTTTGTCCGCTTAGTTGGCTAACTAGTTCCATCTTAACACTTAACATCACAAGTGTCCTTGTAAGCATCTATTTGAAAGATAGTAATTTAGGGTCGGTGTATTACACGATTTGTTTTTATCGGGTATACTAGTAATGAACAGTTAAAAATATGCATTTAGTAACTACTGTTTGTCAAAATGTTTGATAAAAAATCAAAACACCAATTTGATGTTTTTATATGTTTCCGCACTGCAAGGTTTGATATTTTAAACGATGAATGGTATATTTTTTTTCTTTAAAAAAAATTCTTAAATGATATTTTTAAACTAATCATTATATTTTTCAAACTTGTAATACTTTTTTTAACAGGATGTGTTTTCATATTATGGATGTTACTAAACATGTTCTTGATTATTATTCAAAATATTTATTTTGTTTCGGATTAAAACAATATCCCAAATGTGCCATTAGAGTTCGAAAGTCGAATAATTTCAACTGATTTATCAGAATGATAGTTGACAACATCATAATGTTATTAATATTCAAAACGTCAAAATAACATCAACCATACCCATATAAAATTAATCGAATTTATTGAAACTTTCCATTTTCAGGGTATTTGAACGTTGAAAGACATGTAATTAGACATGTTATATAAGTATATGTTTTGCCACAACACCAACCAAAGGGTTTGTATATTGGTTTTATTTGATTTTGAGTCGTTAGGATTGAGTTCATGTGTATACGTAACCGACAATTGAATGAGCAAATATGAAGAAATCAGAATAGCATGTGCTGGGTACTAAAAGACTACCTAAACGGTTGATATCCTAAGATGGACCATTTCGTTGACTTGCATTAACTAATCTCTTCTGAATTTGTATGAGTTAGTAAATATAATAGGGTCAAATTAGGGACAGTCTATATATAAATATATGTATTAAATTAATGTATTGAAATCATCAATGTCTGAATGCAACTATGCAAGCCAGTCGTTAACAGATAGATTGATTTGTGGCCTCCGGCATCTTGTATGACAAAAACAATGTTTGAGAAAAGTTATAACGAGGTGCACCTCATTGTAACACTCATGGTCTCTTCCTTTTTATTTTATGTACAAATTTTGAGAGCCACGTTACCATTTAAATGATAATAATATGATGATTATATAGTCAAATTTTATAGGGTAAAATTTATTTAATCTCCGCCAAGTTTGTTTGAATCAAATTAGATTTTCTCGAATTTGTATATCTTCAGTCAGTCTCTGCTTTTTTTGCCACACATCTTCTCTCCCTTCGTGTAAGGGTCAAAATGGTCAGAAATGTTTTTTTGTTGCATCATTAAAAAAATAATTTAACATGCCCCAATTGCTCTCCTCCTCCCCTCTAATTTAATTTAACACTTCTTTCCTCATTCCTTTCTTTAACACTACCATGAACACGAATATGAGATAAGAATATCACGCTATACGGATATATTAACACGCCAAATTGTCTTTTTACTAACTTTTATGTCGAGGGAAAAGTCTTCAAGGGACTGGTTCGCAGGATTTTTCCTGAAAAGCCATGTCAAGTGCAATGGACTGGAGTGGGCTATGGACTATTGGACAGCAGCCCAGAGGAATGGTTGACAAAATCCAAACTTCTAGGCCATCTAAATTTAAGCCAAGCCCATAACCTGAAAATTCAAGATAGGCCTGTATTAGTCCAATACCTTTTTTTCTTTTTTCTTTTTTTTTTTTCTTTTTTTTTTCTTTTTTCCTTCCCAGTATTAGTCGCAACTTAATCGAACGATAGTGATGTGAAATGATAATTCTTTCGATTTTACAGTTTTAGATTTGAATTTACCTCTCTCAAATTGGATAAGCTCAAGCTATGAAACATTTCAACATCATAAGCTAAATAATAAAAAGGAAAATTTTGTTTAAAAGATATATATATATATATATATATAAGAAAATAAGTTAAAAGTGAGGGAATATATGGCATTGGCATGGAGGGAGAGAGCTTCACTCTTTCCTTTCACCATGCAAATCATAAGAAAAAAACACATTGCAGTATTGCACCAATCCTTGTGCATCTCCAGTCCATTTCTTCAAGAAAATAATCATGCATATTCATTTTCTTTACAATAATTATTTTTTTGTACAAATAATTAACTTTCTAGCACTTTATTTACTATTTATCTTAAATGGCTAAATGCTATACATGCCGACTTATTCAGCCAATTTTCTGAACATCCTACTTGTAATATATCTAATGGTAAAAAAAGCCTTCAACTTACACCTCAAATATCAATATATATATATATATATATATATATATATATATATATATATATATATAATTTTTTTTTTTTTGCATTCATTATATTAGTTGAACCCACTTGAAAAATCAGCCTACCAACTAATTTATATATATATATATATATATATTATATATCAATCTCCATTCATAATGCATTTAAAAAAAAAAAAAAAATCCACTACAGTCCTTTCTCAAGCCTATTACCCAATGGTGCAAGTCATATTTGCACACTTAATGGAAATCAGAGGAAACGAGACCCGAAATTTAGAAGGACTTATAAGTCATTTTCCATGCACCATCCAAGAAAGACTTTAGAAGTCAACCCAATCTGGTCTTCTTTTTTCTTTTCTTTTTTGTTTAAATACAGTATGGTATGTTTTTTGAGCTTAGTCGCTCCATTTTTTCATTCGATATACCAAATCCGCTTTTCTCAGGTACACACTATCTTTGTCCTCCCGAAATTTTGGACATTGAACTTTATTAATTTTCTCTGATTGCTTTAGTGTTTTTAGTCTTGTGTCTGAAAATTCTGTTTTGTTTTCTCGTCACATTTATGTATATATCAGTACTACATTAATTATTTGAGTTGCTTGCTTCTTCTGTTTAATATTTCTGTTTCTGTAGGAGAAATTTATAAGAGATCGATTAGTTGACCGTTGGACAGTTTTTAGTTTGAACCTTCTTGTGAAAGAAAGTGAGAATTCAATTTTTGAATCAATACTTTTGTCAGTTTTGAATTGAGAACTTGCAAAATAAAAATTGTGGGT